AGTATGCACGTGTACCGATGCAGCGAAATGATCCAGGATACGTTGTGCAAACCTGTTTTTGGCTTCGCTATTCAAACTAGTGTACAGACCGCACCGAACATTCTGTACATGTTGAGGAAGTTTAGAATGTCCTGGGACATCTCGGCTGGTAGAAATGTGCGATGCATTCGAACTGTACCCCCCCCCCTTCAACTAACTTCGTCGACGTATCTGGCAGATATCTGCGAATGATTGTTTTGCATTGAACACAACACACCTAATACTCATACTAATGGGGACTAGTAGGCAAGTGAAGCCACATTGTATGGTCAGACAACTCGCTTTTACTATACTTGAATGAAACAGGCGCACATGTGCACGTACGTTTCTTCGCTTACGGAGGATGTTTCTAAAATCCAAATATTTGCCCCGTCAAACAAATCAATGTCTGGTTCGCATCACGTGGTAGCATTTTCCAGTCCGATCGTATGGCAATTAAAATCGGAAGGATAAAAAGAGCATTTCACAATTGTGTTGAACAAATTAGGTGTCACTCCACATGTCTTGATAGTCAATTAGTAGTATGCTGTGAGCTGCTTTTGTTTTATAGGTTATATTGGAGCAGTTTACATCTTTGGCACTAACTGGGATGGATAGTATGATGTTTGATTGTATTTTTTCATTCATGACACGATTCCGGGTGGGGAATCACGTAAGCATCACCTCTATCATCCCGACTGTGGTTACGAGTAATGGAGTGTTCTGATCGAAGCCGTTTCCTTATCAGTGATTCTGCAGACCTGTTTACAATGCTTAACTGTGTTCAGCCCCGTCTATTAAGCTCCCCACCAGTAACTGAGTCAGCCAGATGCAAACTTCTTCCTATTGTTTCTTGAGTTTTCAAAGTACTGACAATCGAGCCAGTTCTGCTTTACGGTGCAGAAACTTGGCCATTAAGAAAACAAAATAAAGATAGACTGTTGGTGTTTGAACACCGCTGTCTACGCAGCATTGCACGAATCTGGTGGGGCAGTCAGACGAGCAATGCTGAGGTTAGGTGCAGAGTTTAAGGTTACCGCGGTCGCCTACTGTAGCAATTTGTCGATCTCCATAGATTCCGTTGGTTGAGCATGTGTTACGCATGTCACCAAATAGGTTGCCACGGCGAGCGATGTTCACCGAGGCAGGTAGTGGGTGGAAGAAAGCCAAGGGTGGTCAAGTTAAACTCTGGCTCACCTATCCTTTCAGGGTTTTCTGTGAGGTACGCCATTACAAGTCACCAGACCTAGGTTGCCGGTTCTCATGCTTGAACAGAGTTCCCTCGTGACTTTGCGATTCGCTCTTTCTGCTCTCCATCACGCAATAGTGTACGCGTAAACTAAACTTTGTTTCTTTACATTTTTTGTCGATATTGTTTGAAAATTAAATAACTACATACATCGACCAAACCATTCGTTTGTAAAATGCAAACTGGGCAATTGGTCGAGAATAGCCTATCATAACGACTATTACGAGGAGATTAACATAAAAAATGGATTTCTCTTAGCGAGAACCTTTTTTGGGTTGACCAGACTGATGAAATAAAAATGGAACTCGAAACCTGTTTTGCACTTCTGTTTCCTCCCTCCATCCCATATTCTATGATTGCAGACTCTGTCGATAGCCTGACATCGAAATCCGTTTGATTCCTGTTTGCAATCAGCGTCTGTACCCACCCGATTGGTAAGCGGACACTTACAGCCTCCGATCAACAGCAACTGTCGTTCCAACTTGAAGTACACGCACTATGGGTTATATAAAATATCATTAGCTCGAATGTCTTAAGGGTTGTTGCCATCCCCCCTGCGCCTGTGTTCAGTTGGGTACGTGGCCGTTTTCAATCTCCGGCAATGGGGTTATTCGGTAATCGTCCCCTCATTCTATCCCGTTTTGAAGCTGCTAATATTTCGCAACCTCCTATCGAGTCAGTAATTCGATGTTCAATCAGCCTGGGGTATTTGACTATGAAAGGTGAATTTGCCACGCACGTTCAACATGCCACTCATCACGAAAGTGTTTGCCCGCAGTTGTGCAGGTGCTCCATTCTTGTTGTGAATCAAGAACACAACATCACGATTCAAACTCGGAAACAAGTGGGGAGGCATCAGTTTCCAGCGCGTTACACATATTAGCTGTCCGTGCCAATCGCCCGTGGATTGCTTCATGCATGTGCCACAGATTCCTCCATCTTTGTCACTGCACGTTCCGGATGTGATGATCTATGATTCATGACCCTTGGTTTATACATAAGAATCAATTTGGGGGTATTTAGTTTTTAAGTGGTGTGGTGTCACTCTTGATAAATGACCATACCAGTAAGCTTGGTATCCTCAGTTTATATCAGTTTGTAGTGTTTTTCGTTTATTGCTCGAACACGAGTCAATATTTGTCCAAGGCGAGAAGTGTTCTTTCTGTAATCAGTAATAGTTGATAACGTAACTAGATCCGGAACTATTTGCTCTAATTAGTTACAGCATATCTTTGTAAACTCACTAAAGAAGTACAAGCTTTGGCCCAGATCGACACGAGTAAGCTACTCGCTAGGCCCCTTCGACCCACTCACCCCCTATGAAGAGTTTACCAGCGTCGTTCGGTCTGTCCTCTCTAAATAACTTAAGTGACCCAGTTTACCATGGTCACTACGTGCCTATATAGAATAAGAGATTGACCAATAAATACAATTGATTTGTGGGAGACTTCAGTCTTGCTATAGTTTTCTTGACGCAATGTTCGTGGAGCAACCGGACAAACAATGCCGTGGTGTGGGGCCAATCGTTTCAAGTGATCGTGGTCGCGTACCGGAACAAGTGCTTGACCGTCATAAATTACGATGGACAGAGTGTGAGTTACGCATTCCACCTAATAATAGGGGCTCCCTCGACGTTTCGTGAGGCTGTTGGTGCTTGTAGGAAAGAACAGTGGTCAACCTGTGACCTGATGTGAATGCGTGAAAACCCTAACCGAGGGACTCGCTCAAATGAACTGCATTCGGTTGTCTGGCCAGGGACCTCGTGACCCCAACTTTATCAATGATTGAAACCAACCAATCGATCGGTTGTCCGAGTCTCGTAAACGGTGGTGCTCGTGTACTCACTCGTTTTCTATACAGGTCTGATTTGATTGCTTTTTATGTCCACATGGTGATACTGCCTTCCGTATTTTCTCTCTTCCATTAACTCAGTCTCTATTATCCACTTGCCTCATTTTCCACACTTTTCGTGTTTCGTTGTCCTGTTCACGCTCTTCACTTTCCCCTCTCGTTGATCGAAAAAAATTGACAGACAGCAACGAAAATGATCGCACGGCATTGCAAAACTATTGGTTGTTCAAACTTAACGTAACTAAAAAAATTTCTTAAACAAATCTTTGATCTGGCTATCTTCCTGATGTCTACAAACTGCTCAAAGCTCAGATAAACTCCCCGACACATTGAATAACAATGATAGGGAATTAACGGTATCGTAACAAATTGTTAACGACTATCATGATGGTGAAGCTATGCATTGATTCATCCTCTCCATGTTCGCTCATTATCCTAACGTGGCAGTTTTCATTACAAAGTTTGTTCACTACTTAAGTGAACCGTAAAGAA